TCGCCGCGGCCGTGGCCGCGGCGTCTGCGCAGGTGAGGACCGCGGCCCTCATGGACATGTGCCCCATCCACGTGAGGGGCCTGACGAGGACGTAGCGCGCCAGCCTCGGGTGCCTCCTCCTCCTCCTCCTCCTCCTCCTTCTCCTCCTCCTCCTCCTCCTCCTCCCGGTGTCTCTGGCCTCGGGTGTCGCAGCACCCCATGCACCCTCGTGTTGTGGTCGACGTTGCCGGGGACCCTGCTCCATGCCGTGAGCCGTGCTGGCGGCCGATCGAGGTACAGCTCCAGCCGGTAGCTGGTCACCCACTGATAGGCATCTGCACGACCCTGGGTCACTACGCCGTGGACCAGCACTGCCGCCCCAAGGTCCATCAACATCCACTGACCATGGGAGCCGTGGAGGGAGCTCCACGCCTGCGGGGATACGAGCCCTGGACGCCCCCACGCTTTTTCCACAGGACCCGCTTCTCATCCCGAGCGGTGTTTGCTCTGATGGCCCCGGCCCACGGACCGGGAGGGAGCCCGTGAGGCTGAAAAGGCAGGGGAAAAAAGAGACCTATGTGGGAGCGGCACAGATATACACTCATATATGCGGACCTTCGACTGAAACAAAATGTGCATAACCATGCCGTTGATCGTGAGACCTACTCCGACAAAACAATCCCACGATTATGTTCGCGGTGGCGGGTGCGAACACGGTATCATGGTCCATGGTCAGGATCGTTGTACGTGCATAGCCCTCGTCGCCCGACAAAGCAGAGTGGGGGCCAGGATTCCCGGGGCCAGGGTGTTTGTTTTCGCCCCGGCTCGGTATCTCGGAATCTCGATCTCTTGGAATCTCTCGAGACCTCGCTATCGAAATAGCCCCGCCCAGCCCCGCCCCTGATATCGTGATATCGGGTTATCGGGGTATCGAGACCTCCTGGCCCCCACCGGGACTCCTTGTGGTCACAGTGCACCTAAGGGCGACAGAAACCTCCGGACCACTTCCCGTCTGTGCCATCGCTCGGGCGTCCACTCCCCATGTATGTTTCGGTTTCGTGCGTTTACTTTTAGCGAAAGGACCCAAAATGCACCAACAGGGGATATGGCGACCCCCATCCCAGGCTTCGTGGGGTTCTCGAACGGACCAAACATCTGGGTCCCAACCCTGGGATATACGATGGAGGGAGGGCGTCCGTCCTCGATGGTGGTGCGTCCGAATAGCTCCCATGGGGATGCATCCCATGGTTGCCCTCCCTCTCTGAACGGCTTCACGTTACGTCGAAAAGTCGGGGGGAAACTAGCCTGGCGAAGGACCCAACCATATGCAGTCCCACCAGCCCTCTGGGCGTAGGTGGTCTAACGAGATGATTGCTTTCCTCTTCCAAAACTCCTCTTTCCCTTCGGGGAGGGGTTTATCACTGTTCCCTATGAATAGACACCCCCTCCCCCAGGCGACTGGGATCCAACCCGAACCAATGAGGGCCCCCCCACACCACCCCTTGTAAGAAAAACCATACAAAACACACTCTGCCTACAAATTCGGCGCATGCGCAGCGAACCCGATGCGGCATCCCCCCCATCCCTGCCAAAAACACTACAAAGTACACTTGGAGGCGGCGGCGGCGGCTGCAGCGGCTGCAGCGGCTGCAGCGGTGGCAGCGGCTGCGGCGGCTGCGGCGGTGGCGGCGGCGGTGGCGGCGGCGGCGGCGGGGGCGGCGGCGGTGGCGGCGGGGGCGGCGGCGGCGGCGGTGCGGTGACGGCGGCGGTGGCGGCAGCGGGGGCGTCAGCGGCTGCGGCGGCAGCGGCGCGGCGGCGGCGATTCGGCAGCGGGGGCGGCGGCGGCGGCGGCGGCGGCGGCGGCTGTGGCGGGCGGCGCGGTGACGGCGGCGGCGGCGGACAGCGGCGGCCGCGGCGGCGGCGGCGGGCGGCGGCGGTGGCGGCGCAGGCGACGACAGCGGCGGCGGATTACCGCAATTATGAATATCATCTTCGCCCGCGCTCCCTATGGGGCCACGACCCGTGTGAGGGGCGTGCCGACATGCGTGGCGGGGCACACAACGCGAGCGAAGACGATAGGTCTGTGTGCGAGAGACTGGGAGCGAGTGAATCTGATTGTGGATGAGTCTGCGCGCGCGGGTCTACGTGCATAAATGTCGACGCCCATGTCGGCGCGCCTCTCACGAGGATCGCGCCCGCTTCCTTCCCGATATGATTCTCCCTCTTTGCCGGTGCACGCCCACGTCCAAGGCTGCGGGCGCGGCGCCGCACGGAGTCCCCGCGACGCGCGCTGGTCGCCCCGAGGGGGTCCTGGCGACGCGCGCGGGTCGTCCGCTGCGCGGAGCAGAAACAGTGAGCAGGGTGGCTCCCGCCCGGGATGCGCGGCCCGAAAGCGGCCTCAATACGTCGAATACGACGAAAAACCTCTGAAAATCGAAGGTCGCCGCCATGCGAACTCCGCCACTGGGCCGCCATGCGAGTTCCACCACGGAGACCTTAGGTGGAGCTCCCTGTGGGGACACGAAACGATGTACTGGGTGGTGGATGACGCATGCGGGCGGTCCCACTGGGGCCTTCGGTGGAGCCCCCTATGGGGCCACGAAGCGCTGCACCGGGTGGTGGGTGACGCATGCGGGCGGTCCCATTCGAGCCTTCGGTGGATCTCCCTGTGGGGCCACGAAATGCCATGTTGGGCGGTGAATGACGCACGCGGGCGGTCCCGGTGGAGCTCCCTATGGGGCCACGAAGCGCTGTACTGGGTGGTGGATGATGCACGCGGGCGATCCCACTGGGGGTTTCGGTGGAATTCCCTCGTGGGCCACGAAACGCTGTACTGGGTGGTGGATGACGCATGCGGGCGGTCCCACTGGGGTGTTCGGTGGAGCTCCCAATGGGGCTACGAGCGCTGTACTGGGTGGTGGAAGACGGATGCGGGCGGTCCCACTGGGGCCTTCTGTGGACCCTTCTATGAGGCCACGAAACGCTGCACTGGGTGGTGGATGACGCATGCGGGCGGTCCCACCGGGGCCTTCGATGGAGCTTCCTATGGGGTCACGAAACGCTGTACTGGGTGGTGGATGGCGCATGCGGGCGGTCCCACTTGAGCCTTCGGTGGAGCTCACAATGGAACCACGAAGCGCTGCGCTGGGTGGTGGATGACGCATATGGGCGGTCCCACGGGGGCCTTCGGTGGATCTCCCTCTGGGACCACGAAACGCTGCGCTGGGTGGTGGGTGACGCACGCAGGCGGTCCCACTTGGGCCTTCGGTGCCCCCTATGGGGCCACGAAATGCTGAAATTACTGGGTGGCGGATGACGCATGCGGGCGGTCCCACCGGAGCCTCCGGTGGAGTTCACTATGGGGGCACGAAACGCTGTATTGGGTGGTGGATGACGCATGTGGGCGTTCCCATTGGGGCCTTCGGTGGAGCCCCCTCTGGGGCCACGAAACGCTGTGCTGGGTGGTGGATGACGCATGCGGGCGGTCCCACTGGGGCCTTCGCTGGAGCCCTGTATGGGGCCACGAAATGCTATGCTGGGCGTTGAATGACGCGCGCGGGCGGTCCCAATAGAGCATTCGGTGGAGCTCCCTATGGGGCCACGAAACGCTGTACTGGGTGGTGGATGACGCACACAGGCGGTCCCACTGGGGTGTTCGGTGGGGGTACGAAGCGCTGTACTGGGTGGTGGATGACGCATGTGGGCGTTCCCACTGGGGCCTTCGGTGGAGCCCCCTCGTGGGCCACGAAACGCTGTGCGGGGTGGTGGATGACGCATGCGGGCGGTCCCAATTGGGGCCTTCGGTGGAACCCTGTATGGGGCCACGGAATGAAGGAGTAACGGGAGGAGGAGGAGGAAGGGAAGGAGGAGGAAGGAAGGAAGGAAGGAGGGAGGGAACGCGGGGACCGTCTCTTAAAAACGAGGACCCAACAACACAGGTAGGTTGGGAAACAAGAGAAACACCGCCTGCGATGCACCTCGATGGCCCTCGCCGAGCGAAAGGCACACGTCCGAGCGATGCCAAACCACAGGACCACCGCTTGGCTCACCGGCAGCCGCCTGCTCCGAGTCCAGCGCGGACCGGGCGTGGCCCGTGCCCACCGAGTCGTTCCGCCAGACGCTCGAGTACGACCGGGAAGCCTGTCGGGGGTGGACTAGCCGGCCTCGAGCTGATCCCTCGAGCAGGGGATCGACTACAGCAATGTCTTTTACGCCAAAGTTGGCTCGGTCGTCAAATCCATGGAAATGCATAAAGTGTTGGTAGATCCACGTGAACATGGATAGAATATTCGTAGAGTCTTAGATCTACGAACAGTCTACGCATGACTCGACGAGACAATCAAGTCTGGGGTAAATCAATTCTGTAGTCGATCCCCGACTCAAGTCCCTAGGTCCCTAGGATTGACCAGCCCAGAGGCGAGGACAGTCTCAGGGATGGGCCCTCAGAAACTAGAGGAATTCATAAGGTCGCCATCGAGGTACGGCGATACCTGGGGGAACGAACAATAACATAAAAAGTTTAGCAAAATCCTGAGACCCGCCAGCAAGCTGCGGACGAAGCTGTGTCGGGAACCGGGGCCCCCACGCATCGATCCAGTCCGACAGATGCAGCAGAAATATTGCGCTCGGGGCTCCGGCCGAGTTTCGGGTCGATGTTGCGGTGGTGTCCGAGGCGCTAGATCTCAGGGCGCACCCTTGGTGTTAGGTCGGACATGTCCTCTTACAGTTTTCTTGCTGCGTCGGCGGCGAAGCAGGGGATGTCTGCGCTAGCGGATAGGCCTAAACGGGGGGTGCCGTCAGGGCAATTTATGCCACCATGCAAGAGGGGGAGCAGGAAGAGATGTTCTCCTACAGGCGCATGCTGGAAGAAGAGCTAGAACTAGTCAAAACTGCACAGTCATAGCCAAAAAGATTCGACAAATCGTCTCCAGACTATGTTTTGACAATTTTCGAAGATTCCTCCCGACAATCGACCCTTGGTGAAAGCGGCCAGGGGGTCCCGACCGGGCGGGCGCAGTTCCGGCAAAAGTGAGGGGCCTGCGCCACCCCCCCCTCGAGAAAGAGAGCCGCGAAAGCTCGGAGGCAGCGCTCGGGCATCCCTTCCCCATGCATGCCTCGATGTCGTGCGTGCGTTTTTTGGCCAGGTGCTCCAGGAAGCTCATCGATGGGGGAACTAACGATGGCAGAAACAGGAAGACTCGGAGGCCCGCGCGGAGTTCTCGGATCCGCGCTGGGCCCCCCTGGCGGCGCGGCGCCTCCGGCGCCGCCCCTGGCGCGCTCCGCGCGCCAGTAAGGGGGGTCCAGCGCCGATCATAGAAATCCGCGCGGACCTCCGAGTTGTTACGTTTCTGTCATTCTTCGTTCCCCCATTTCCTGGCCAGATGCTCCGGGATGCTCCCCGAGGGCCCTCGCCGAAGAAAGGATGCACACCGAGCTTCGACGTCGTGCGTGCGTTTTTTTAGACAGATGCTCCAGAATGCTCCTCGAGGGCCCCCGCCAGAAAAAATAATGCCAAATGCCCACGTCCGCGCGATGCCAAGAGAGAAGGGGCAGCTCGCCCATCGCCCTGCCGGCGGGGGGGCTCCCTGCCAGCCTCCGACCCCGAGGGAACAGAGAGCTGTCGACACCGATGCCGCTCTCGCATGGTGTTAGGTCGGGCATGTCCTCCTGCAGGCGGACGTTTGACGGATATCTAAAACCAGTCCAACAAATAAGCAGACATAGTCGAGAACTGTAGAAAAAATCCTCCCCAGACGATTTTTTCTACTTTGGCAACCTTTGCATACTCCTCCTGCAGAGGGACATGCCCGACTTACACATGCCGTGGCG